GGAGGACTGGTAAGGTCTGTCTCCTTCTCAGGTGTTGTCTCTTTGATCTTTGTCTGCCTGTGGTTTTGCCTTTTCATGGTGATAGAGATAGTTTGCAGAGCTGGTACAAGTGACAGCTGGAAGAGCTTTCCTTCTTGTTGGTTTGCGGCCTTCCTCTCCTGGGATAATATCGACCTTTAGTGGCTCGTGCTTGGCAGCTGTTCGCAGACAGGGCTTCTGCTTCCTGCCCGGTTGCTATGGAGTTTATCTCCGCTGTTGCTGTGGGCGTGGCCTGGCTCAGCCTGCCCTTCCAAAATGGTGGAGCCCTGTTGGATGGGGAGCCGCCGGGAAGCTATTTATCTCCATAAGGGGCTCCGTGCTCCCTGCTGCCCAGGGGGTTAGAGTGCCCAGAGTTTCCCAGATTCCCTGCCTCTGGACTAAGTGTCCTGCCCTCCCCCTTTAAGACTTCCATGAACCACTCTCCAAACCATAACAACAACAGCAACAATGGAAGAAAAAATAAAAAAAAAATTAAATAAATAGTTAAAAAAACAAAGGAAAAATGTGCCATTTTCTTTGTCCTCAGGCACCAGTCTCAGGCACCTGCTTACCAGTCTTGCTGCCCTGTTTCCCTAGTATTGGGGTCCCTGTCCCTTTAAGGCTTCCAAAAAGCACTTGCAAATAGAAAAAAAGCCACTCCTGTTTCTTTGTTCTCTGGCATCGGCCTCAGGCACCCGCTCACTGGTCCTGCCACCCTGTTTCCCTCGTATCCAGGTCCCCACACATGCACTGTGTCTGTGTTCTGGTCTGGAATCCTGGGGCTGGGAGTTTAGCACTCCTGAGCTCCCTAGCCCTCCTTTCTGACTCCTCTCCACCTGCTGGGAGCTGGGGGGAGGGGCACTTGGGACCCACCCGGCCGGGGTTTGTATCTTACCCCCTTTGGGAGGCGCTGGGTTCTCGCAGGTGTGGATGTGGTCTGGATGCTGTCCTGTGTCCTGTGGTCTCTATTTTAGGAAGAGTTGTCTTTGTTATATTTTCATAGATATATGTGGTTTTGGGAGGAGATTTCTGCTGCTCTACTCATGCCTCCATCTAGGCTCCCTCCATTTTTTTTTCATTTAAAACCAAGTATCTTGAATATTTTTTTCTATTATTGATGATTCATAGTTTTCATAAGGTATTAAAAGTTTAAGGATTTTTTCCTAAAAATAAGTAGACACAAAGATAGGCTTTTTAAGTTTCACATATGTTTCATATATATGTAAATATATAAAATATGTTTATTTAATAGTTATACTAAAAAACATCTTTATGGGATTTTACTAATAGACTATGAGAAAGAAAGTAGGGGAAACTGTTCTCTCTTTATACAGCTTGTTATCTTCTGGTTTGCTTCTTCAAATAATTAGTCAATCAGTAAATAAATATTTATTGATATTTATGAGTAGGTAGTTGGAATATAGAGAAGGGGAAATAGGCACAGCTTTATTGGAGGAGACATGTAATAAACTGATGAACATTTAAATAAAGATAATTTCTGGTATTCCTAGGGATTGTATTATGCTGTTGGAATAATAACAACACTTAGTAATTGCCAAATACTTTAATTGTACCAGATACTCTTCATTTCGTGGTTTAACTCATTTTTCTCTCATGAGGATTTAAAAGGTTTTATTACAACTTGTTTATATGAGGGAAATGAGGCAGAAATTTTAAGTAACTTGCCAGTTCACAGCTAGTATTGAGAAAATAATTAAAAATAAAATCTCCTGACAACCTAGAAAACCTATCCATAAAAGTAGACGAGACAGAGAATAATTTTATTATTGAATAAGCATTTAACCAGAGTGTGTTGTGCATCATAGGTAATCTGTTAGGAGACTGCAAAGATAAAAAGAAATCTCACATTATGTATAGCCACGCAGATACAACCTATTACATACATGTTTTCAAGGTAAACAACTAGTCCTTGAGTTAAGAGGACTTGACAGCTCCAATTATCAAACATACTTCATTCCGGAAGATTTCCTGGTATTTGGGTGACCATTCACCAGTTAATTGGCATTATGCAAAGGAAGAATAAACTTCCATACCTTATAACAGGAGGTATTGTAGTTTGGAAACTTGGAGTATGGCACCTGCTCAAGTTAGGCTCTAACCATCCAAAGAACCTGGGAGATATAGGTGCTATCTTACTTGATGAAGGCTTATTTACTTTTTAAAAAAATATATACATACATTTTAACAAGACAGAGACAGAACCTACTACTTTTCTAAAATAAATGCTCTAAGAAAAGGGAGAGGTAGTTTCCCTTATATTGAACAGGAAGAATTAAGCCTCATTTTTAATTCTTCTGTGCCTTTACATAAGTAATGATAGAATTAAGGTTTGAGTCCAAGAAACATTGACAGAGTCCAGGCCCTTAAACACTTCCCTGTATAACATTCTGCTAAGTGTATGCTTGGCATGGAGATGACTGTCTTCATTTGTTTTGATATTTTTGTGATGACAAGGATGCAGCCAAATAAACTCCAAGGAAATAACATTTTGAATAGATGAAACCATAAAGTCAAAGAACCTTGAGGTCAAAAGAAGCTTTGTTGGTGTTCACAATAAGAAACAGACTGGATATAGTGGAGGAGGGGACCAGAAACTTCAACATTGGGTAAGGGTTAAATCTTAAAGCCATTGTAGTCCATAGAAAGAAGTTTGGGTTTTATTCTAGTGACAGTGGAGAACCATTTGAAGGTTCTTTTAAGCAGAGAACTATAATATCATTTCTGATTTAAAGAAGCTATTTTTCGTGTTTATGTGAAGAAGCTGTGTTGTTTTGTTGGGGGAGCTGGAGTGATGATGGAGGCCAGTAAGAGTCTGTTGCAGTAGTCTAGGTCTTTGATTACATTGGTAGAGATTTCAGTTAAATTTTGCCTGTTTTGGAAGATAAAGCTAAGGAGCTCTGCTGAGTTTTTGGACGAGGTGTAAGGAAAGAGAAAAATTGGGTGATTTCAAGAATTTCGTCCGAAGTAAAAATGGTAGCCTTTTCTTCTTATCTAAGGAAGGTTTCAAGTCTAGAGCAGGTTTAAGCAAGCAGTGGGAATCGGTAATAGTTTTAGCCATATTAAGATTGTAATGTCTCTTAGATGTAGGTCCAAATGGTGATGTAAAGTTAACAGTTGTATTTCTGAGTCTGTGGCTCAGAGTAAATAATCTGAGCTACAAATGCAAACTTGAGAGTCACCAGTGTATAAAAAGTATGTATACAATTACAGGATGAGGACTGAACACAGTTACTTATCCTGTGAGGGCTGTTAGAGAAGAGTGCTAAGGATGGGAAACTTCTTACGTATATACGTAAACTAAAGTAATAACTTCTGAAAGAGTGTTTGGCATAAGGATTATTTGTGGGCAAAATGAAAGGAAGAAAAATCTTCATAGTGACATAAAAAGAGACAAAAAAAGCCAAGAAAACAATGTTTTTATAGAAGTAAGTGAAGGAGATAAGTACTATAGAAACATCAAATTTGATAAAGATAAAAGTTTCTCAATTTAATGAAAACATGCAATACAACTTAGACATTTAACAATTTAAACATTTAGATTTTAAAATGTCAGTAATTTAAAATTTTTAATTAGAGTTAATAGTTTTAAATTATTTTTCCCATAATGGATTTTTTGAAAAAAAATCTCTATTCAGTATATCCCCTCTAAACAACAGAATTATTCTTGTAGATAGCTGGCTGGAACCATAGCTAAAAATCTACACTGTTGATCCCTGCTTTTCTCTGCATGAGTCTAAACAGACCTTCATGAAAAGTACATCTAGTGAAGAATAAAACAAAACAAACAAATGTCTTGAGCTTCAGTATCAATGTGAACAAGGGTCCAATGAATCCATACAAACTGGATGTAAGGTGTGCTGTATGTAATTTCAAAATAATTAATATTATTGCATTGATGAAGGATTTCAGGACAAACATGATTAAAAAAAGGCCCTTTTACTTGTCCTGGAAACATTCACTTTTTATATTGGAAAATAGAGTATTTTTTCAATTACTTTTATCTATGATAGAAAAAGAGCAAAAGTTATCTTCGGCTCCTCAAACTGAGAGGGCCGTTTAAGGTAATTTTACAGCATTAATGAATAGGAAAACCCATTAACATCTGATTTACTAGAGTGGTCAGGATTTGTAGCATGTTTTATTGCAGTTCACTTAGCACATAAGGCATGCATATTGTTTTCAATTTCCTTACACTCCCAGCTGGGTAGTAAAACTATTCTAAGTAGTATATTATTAGTAACAATAATAGAGTAAAAGCTGGAGGGGTTTCTGAAAATATCTTAAGAAATTTATTTCTACTTGTGCTGTAACAACTACTCAGGGCATCAAGGTCTTAATGTGCACTTATAGACCTAGGGATCATTTAAAATAAAATCTAAAACAATAAAAGAGCATTGTTGTAAAGCAAGAAATCACATTAAAAATCTACATCCAGTATATTTAGACATTTATATCTATCTCTCTCCTTTGGCACAACCATTTCCTTCTTGTCCCAAATGGGGATATTTTTACTGAAATCAGAGGAAACTCACAGTTAAATTAGTGATTATGATTTTATATTTCAAGTGTTTTAATTAAAAAATGTTCCACTTTAAATTGGATCCTTACAAGAGCAGTGATCTGAGAGCTTCATTCCATACTGAAAGAGGCTTCTCTGGCTAGTTATCCTGTCAGCCTGGCCCTTGGGCTTCCCAGAGCTTCCCACAGATCTAGGGAAGCAGTTTAACTTAACAGGCAGGGCAGTAGGCTATGAGAAGAAAGATTATTTATTCCTTGTCATAAAATAATATAGAATATGGATATTACTCAGATAATTCCTGATTACAGATTCTTAAACCATTAATTGAGGGCAAAAAAAAAAGATCCTGAAATAATATAGTTAAAGCACACTCTGAGAGTGAAGATGGATAAGTGATTGCAGATTTTATTTATCCATTTACCTACTTTTATTGGCATCTCCCAGAACCAAGAATTGTCTGATTTCAGAACACTCACTGCTACATAAGGCAGACCTGGTTTCTGTATTCCTGGTATTTACATTCTAGTATGCAAAACAGACAAACACAGGAATGGACACAAATACAAACCCATCCTGCTGACTCTTGTAAAGGAAACAGATAGGGACTGAGGTGGCAACTTACGGGTATGCTACGATAGTTGGCTATCAAGGTTAGCGAAGACCTCTTTGAAGAAGTTGTTGCACTTCAAATGAACTGTGATAAGGATGGCCATGACAATAATATGGAAAAGAGTAGTAAGAAGAAAAAGAACATCAAAAGAAAATAATGCTTCCTTTTCTTCCTTAAGTCCTTTGGCAACTAAATTACCACTATCTAGAATTACTTCTCAGCCTTACTTAGTATCTTTCAATAAGAACTTGAATTTGTAATGATTCTCTCCATGTTATGTTTGCATCTCAGTGTAAGTTATAAGCTTCTTGAAGGCATAACTTCATGTGCTACTTTTGTGTACTTCATAATGTCACATATTGTTGCTTAGAAAGGTTTGCCTAGTACCTAATTTCTAATTGAAAGAGTCTAGTTTTATTGAGATATTCTGCTCTCGTAAGGGCTTCTTATCTCACCAAGGTTACCATATTTCATTATTTCATCATTGAGCTCATAATGAACTCATAGCACTCTTTTTAACTTCTCCTATTACCACGTATCACATCACACATACAGACAGATGTGCACATACACGTATATGCAGTTTTCTGTTTAAATATTGGTTAATGTATTTTATACTAGAGATTATAGTTACCAGCTCAAAGCACACCATTTAAAGACTGTAACAATAATACTTGACCCTGGTTGTACATTAGAGTCATCTAAGGAATTAAATATGAATTCTCATTCACTTGGTCTGAGGTTGGGCCTGGAACTTACACCATTTAAAAGCTCCTCATTAAAATTATTTAAAGAGTCTAAGGTGCAACCAGTGTTAAGAATCCTTGAGCTGTTAGGCAGGTGCAGAAAGACAGAACCAAGATATCTAGAAAATGTAGAACCAAGGTTGGATTTGAATTAAGGGTTATTGAGAAAGATTAGTGAGAAAAGTTCCAAAACGTACCTATGACAGTCTGACTGTAAGTGTTTCTGATTGATTTAGGACACTATTCATTTTTATTACTGTGATTAAAGATTTTATTTATTTTTGTATTATCTGTATTGAATTAAAAATTGTATTTATTTGTGATATGGACTTCACATAAATTATGTGCATTTGTTTTATATAATGAATTATATAGCCTTCTGAAAATTAGTTACATAGATACAAATATTAAAGTACAAAGGCAATCTCATAGCATAAATGACATTTTTGGAAGTTTTTTTGATCTTTAGGACAATTCATTTGTGATTGTCCATTGTGTCTGTATTGCTAATATTAAAAAATAGAATGGAATGATTATAATATTGTGTCTAAATATCTAATCATATTGAATGAGGCAATTTTTTAAACATTAGTAATGTACTAGGCTAGATATTGGGACTATGTTTCTGATATAATTGAAAATAAGTTGATGAAACATATTTTCCTTGATTTTTTAATAAAAAGGATGTGTTCAACAGTGATTACAGAGTAAGAACAATAATCAGAAGTAAATTTTAGCAACAAATACATTCATTACTAAAAAAGACAGCAGGCAAATAGACAAACCATATAACTTTAAATATTAGGCAGTCATAAATTAATGTACTAATAAAAAATAAAGCAGTAATTAATGTATGACATCAAGCAGTTGAATAAAAATTTCTAAGAATGCCATCTGCTGTTCTTCAAATGAAAGAGAAGAAAAACAAACTTCTAGCAATATAGCAAAAAGATAAACCCCCCAACATAAAATCAGTTATGATACAAGAGACATAACTACAGTTCCAGAAAGAAAATTAAGAAAATCATATGTGAACAGTATGTACAAGTCTATTGTTGGAGATAGAATAAGAAGGGAAAGCAGATGACATTATTTGAATTATTGAGTCTAATCTTTGGACTTTTTACAGTCACTTTTTAAGCATTTCAGAGGGCATTATATGCCAAGAAGACAAAAATCTCCTTTTTTTTAACTATGAGATTTTTCCACAAAATAGTCTCTTAACCCAGGAATTTCACTCCTAGGAATTTACCCTAAGAATGCAGCAGCCCAGTTTGAAAAAGACAGATGCACCCCTATGTTTATCGCAGCACTATTTACAATAGCCAAGAAATGGAAGCAACCTAAGTGTCCATCAGTAGATGAATGGATAAAGAAGATGTGGTACATATACACAATGGAATATTATTCAGCCCTAAGAAGAAAACAAATCCTACCATTTGCAACAACACGGATGGAGTTAGAGGGTGTTATGCTCAGTAAAATAAGCCAGGCGGAGAAAGACAAGTACCAAATTATTTCACTCATCTGTGGGGTATAAGAACAAAGAGAAAACTGAAGGAATAAAACAGTAGCATACTCACAGAACCCAAGAATGGACTAACAGTTACCAAGGAGAAAGGGACTGGGGAGGGTGGGTGGGAAGGGAGGGATAAGGGGGAAAATGGGGCATTATAATTAGCACACATAATGAAGGGTGGGGGACATGGGAAAGGCAGTATGTACTGAGAA